GGATAGTTGGCGGTAGGGTTGGTAGTTTCTAGTTTAAGGAGGAGGGCGGGGGGGGGATTGGTTGGAATTATGGGTGGGAATAGGGGATAGGGATAGGTTTAAGAATTGTGGTGGGTTGGGGAGTATTTGCTCCTTGCTGCTTGGGGTTGGGGATGTTTTATGTTGAGTCGTGGAGGGGAAGAGCAAGCCTCTCGAGGATTATCCCACTTCATCATGGACTTTATTTGCGTATATGCTTTGGATTGTTTTTTTTTCTCTCTATATTTACTCCAAAGGGAGAGGGGCAAGAATGGAGGATATTGTACTGAATTTTGCATTTTCAAGAGTGTGGACTATGTAGAGCTTCGCTGCGTCTCGAGCTCAAGTCAAGAATCTTAGACTGGATAATCAAGGGTTATAAAGGTATAACTATCATCAAACACGTAAATTCACGGAGTAGACTCGCTCGGAGACTCGTCTACCGTGTAGTTCGTAGATTGGATCTTGAAAAAGCTTAAGGCAGGCGATTATGTAGTTGGACTATGCAGTTCGGAGAAGAGAGAAGAGAGTGACGGGGGTTGAAGAATGAAGGAACAGGGTGTTCGGTATCTCTGCGATGAGAGATGAGGAATGCAAAGGTATTATGGGAGAAGATGGCTAGAAGGGATGTTGTTGGTCGGGACGGTATGGTTGTACCGAAGGGGAGTAGGCCCGTTCGGTGGGTTGGTGGGGTTGGGATGGTGGGGGGTATGGGATGGGGGAATAAGCGTGCACGGCGGGAGGCGGTTGTGTGGTCGGAGCATAGGCTTCTGCTGGAGAGGACTTGGCATGTGTGGTGGTGGGAGTGAACATCTGGGCTGTCGAATGCGCTGTCACCGGAGAATACGCCTCAGTTGAAGATACAGCGTGGGTGACTGGAGAAAAGGCTACATAGCCGTGCTCCGGGGGCCTAGTCGTCTCCGGCATGCCGTTCTCTGGCAGTGAAGGATCGGGGTGGGGTTCGTGGTGTTGGCGCTCGTGCTCGGGATCGGATATGGCAGCATGCGATTCCTCGAATGGATTGAACGCCGTGTAGCCTTCATGGCTCATGGAGCTGATCGGGGACATGGCTTCCATAGCTGTAGCGGGCGGTTGTCCGGCGTAGTAGTTATAGATGTGTTCGTGGCCTTGATCGTGCTGGTGTTCGTGGCCGTAAGGTTCATGTTCTGACGGGTGTCTATTGTCAGAATCTTGATGCGATTCTGTGGCCGATGGGTTGAAGGCAATGTAATCGTCAGCGTTATGCGAGGCCTCATGCGAGCCAGCAGGGGAGGCTCTGTCTATGTGTTCAATAGCATGGGGCTCGTCGTGGTCCTCGTCGTGGTGCTCAGCGTGGTGGTCGAAGTGCTCGTCATGGCTGTGATGGTCGTCCAAAGGCGAATTGATGTTGGCAGAGGGATTGAACGCGACATAGCCAGCATCTTGATCATGTGTCGTCTGGTGTGCGTCAACCGGGTCAGTGGCACCCAATGCCAGGTCATCTTCATGCTGGCCATAACCGCCGTTGTATCCATTATGTCCGGAAGCAATATTGCCAGCGAGTGGCATCGGAGAGCTCCTGTCGGCTGGGCTGAACGCAGTATAAGGGTTCGCAGTCCCTGCACCGATCGGAGACGTCGTTCTTGTCTCCCAGGTTTCAGTCGGGTAAATAGGCGGAGGAGACCTCGTATTGCCAGGACCAGCTGGTGTGAATGACCGTCCAGGGTATTCATGATCCCCCACAGAATAAGGAGTGCCACTCAGCTGATTTGGGGAAGAGAACGGCTGATTTGGCATTTCCTCGACAGGGGAACGAATTGCGCCGGGTGTCAATGCTCGTGCGTTCGGTCCAGGTGCTGGGCCATAAGAACGGAAAGGAGCACTTGACTGTGAGTAGCAGGCCTCCTCGTTTGCGAACGGATTGTACCCTTCGCCAGGATCCTGCTGCTGGGTCGCATACGGCATGTGGCTATGATCAGGCATGGCAGACGGCGGTGCCGGCGTGTAATTGGATCGAGACATAGGTGTCTGAATACGTGGCAAAGGTGGTGCAGGTGACGCTCGATCCATTCCCCTATACCCTGGAGCAGGAGGCGGGGGAGTGAAGTTCTGACGCGACATGGGAGTGTGGGACCGAGGCATTGCTGGGGCCTGTTGCTGAGGAGCAGGCGTACGGGTTGACCGCGACATAGGGGTCTGGCTGCGCGGATCGATTGGCTCGCCATACCCCTGAGTCGGGGGCGCCTGATTGAAGTTCTGGCGTGGCCTCGGAGTCTGGGACAGCGGCATTGGGGCAGGCCCTTGCTGAGGAAGAGGCGGTACTGGAGGCGCCGGGGTTCCATGTCGATCAAGGGGGCTGTATGTGGACACGGCAGTACTACCAGACATAGACGCAGCATCTGAAAAGGAAGACTGGGTCACCGTGCGACTAAGTGCTGGGGGCTTATCATCGAATGTGGACAGGTCGGGAAGAGTTGGTTTGCGGTCTGGGGCAGCTGTGCCGGGGCGAGACGAGTATGCTGGCAACGTCGTTTGCGTGGTGCTCCGCGAGATACTCGTGACTATCGGGGTCTTATCATCATCGTGCATCCCGATTGTCGGCAAAGTGGGCTTCCTATCGATACCCATGTTGGGTTGGGTGGGCTTCCGATCCTGGAGGGCCACGCCTTTGGCCAGTGCCTTGTTGACCTTCTTCCGGACAATCTGCGTCAACCGCGAATTGATCTTGCGCTTGCAGTACCTCTTCAACGATCCATCCTCCGTGGGAATGTGGTGCCAGAGAAACAGCAAGTAGAGCACAACAGCCAGCAGCAGCTTGAGCATTGACAAGACCCAAATGACCAGAGTGAAGATCATGCCGACCAGAACAATGGCCTGTCGAGTATTGTCTTCCGCCAGGACCTTGATGTTGTGAAACAGCTGAGAAGCAGTAGATCCATCAGTACTATCCGTATTACTGCCACCCGGGAGCAAATCCATCTGCATGACCGAGTAGAGAGTGATAGCGTTGACAACCTGTCGCGGGCCGTCGGCGAAGATTGTACTCATACACGCTACAGCAAGGTCAGCCCATCAATCCTCGACCCAACAAACAGACACATGAACTCACATTCAAAAGAAAAGTACGCAAAGAGCGCGACATACTCCGCACCCTTTCGACTCTTAGTCAACTCCGCGAAGACCAAGAAGCGCCTCCACCCACGACCATTCTGACCCATGCGGATACTCTGGATGCGCACCGCGAGCGAATCCAGATAGCTGTGCGCGATGCTCCCCGAGCGCATCGCGCGAATGGCGCGCAACCACCGGTAGATCAGCAGGGCGAACGAGACGATAATGCAGACGGCAAAGATCCAGCGCGAGATCTTGAAGGGGATCGCAGGCTCAATTGAGCCCGCCCACCGCGAGAACGCCAACAGATTGACGGCCGTAAAGGTGTCCACACCGTAGACCGCCACCGAGACCAACAGAAACACATAGATCAGAAAGTACGAGAATCCCGACCAGCAGGATTCGGACTTGAAATCACTCAGGTTGATATAATCCCATTGTTCCTCCAGGGCCACGGGCCCTTTCTCGCGATCGCCCGAACAGAACATTATACACGGTGAACCACGACGTGTGGAAAGGAAAATATATTTTGCCGATAAAAAGAAGAGAGAATGTGTCGTGTGTGAATTTTGGACTTTCGTCGGACCAGCCGGGGAAAGTCAGTCACACGTCGCAGGCGTAGGCGACGTAAGAATGATTGGAGAGGTTTTTGTCTAGTCAGGGTCGGTCTTTCGACAATGGTTTTGTATGCGCTGACGAGGTTCAAAAAGAGCGACGGAGACGGGGAGGGGGACGAAGATGGCGGCAAGTCGCGTCAACAGCGCATAGCCGCTGGACAATGGGTGGATGTGTTAATCGACATGGACGAATCGTGCCTGAGCCATCGAAAGCCCGTCTGTGTGATATGAGGATAGCGCTGAAACGACAACGTGCGGCGGCGGCAGCAGCAGCAACAGCAGCAGCTGTCAGCGTAGTGGTAACGTTGCCAAGATAGGGGAAACAGTGTTGGGCGCGTGCGATTGATGTGCTTTCCTCACCACATACAACCGGCCAGAGAGTGTGTGGAAAAATCAGATAGCAGACGACAGACGACAGGAAACGGAGGAATAATTAGCTCTGCCCAAGCGCAACATCCACCTTCACCACCCAAGCGAGAGACACTCGGGGGTCGGGGAACAGGAATCGCATGAGTACGTAGTATGTGTAACTAGAAAGAATGTGGAGAATTGGCCGTCAGGAATGGGGGGGGAACCAGGCTGAAAGAAGGTGGCCGGCAAAAAGATGAAACATGGGGAGGGCGCTTGCCATGCACTATTCAATGATTTCAATCTATTGAGCACTGGTCCCTTGGGTCAGCCCAGTTGCTGATGGGGTGGATGGGGCTAATGGAAGCCCCTTATTGCGCTACTCTTCCAACTAGTTATCGCGTGCAGGAAGATTGAACGGGCACCGTTATCTCCCGAACGCTGAACCCCCTGATCCACTGAAGTGCATCAAAGTGCTGAGATCAGCACGGTCCCCCTTGCACGTTGCAACTGGTTCGTCTCTCTGCTTGGCAGTTTCAGAATGATCGTGTTCACTCACCATTTAATTGTTTGATTTGTTATCTTCCTCGATACTCCATAGATACTTGAACATACTGTCACAATATGGTAAGCGGAGGGGTTGGGGGTTGGGGGTTAGAAAAGCATCAAGCATGACAGGGTGATCGATCGGCTTGACCGATAAGTCAAGCCGCCTACCCCAAACTCAACTATGCCAATCGACGAGAAGAATGTGATGTTTGACTGAGCCACCAAGAAGGCTGGGCTAACACTAGAAGCAACGTCATCATTGCCATAAGCCAACCAAGCAAGCAAGCCAGATACGTGTCCAACAATTTCGTCTGCCAAACTTGCGCCCCTCCCTTCATTCAACTATCGCCACAAACACAACCCTAACCCATCCCCAACTCAATCAATGTCACATGGGTCGGAGGCCAGTCCGGCTGCTGCCCTGCTGCGTCTGGGACGCTGGGTCTTCGCATTCGAGATGCTAATGCGCAGCTTGCGGAGTTCCTCTTCCAGATCGCGGTTCTCCTTGGACCAGCGGATCTGATCCTCCGTGCGTGCTCTCTTCTCCCGGTCGTACATCGATTTGATCATCGAGAAGTCAGCGCGGAGCTTCTCCTCGACCTTGCCCGCGGGACTGGCCACCTTCGCCTTCTCGAGCTTCTCCGTCAAGTCGTTGATCCTCGTCTGCTGCTCGGAGACCTTGACCTGGCACTGCTGGAGGGCCGTCGTGACGGACCCCACGTTCGCGGTTGGTCGCTTGAGAATCGTCTGCTCGTCGCGGGCTTTCTCCTCCCACTGGGCCAGGCGGACCTCGAGGACCTTGTTGACTCGCTCCGCGGTGTCGGCCCGTTCCTGGCCACGCTGGGCGTCCCTCATCGCCAGTCCGATCTGAATCTGGAGGGTGCGGTTCTCCTCGGTGACCTCGTCGAGATTCTTCTGCATCATGAACGCTTGGCTTCGCGCCTGCTCGGCTTCTGCGCGCGCTTCCGCCACAGACAAGTTGCAGGCCACTTCGCCTTCCTGCATGCTCTGCTGCGCGCTGGCTCCGCTGAATTGCGCTTCCGCCAATTGTCTCTGGGCTTCGTCTAGGTCGAACTCTAACTTGGCCACCATCAGTTGTGCTTCGATCTCAATGGAGTTATTCTCTTTTTGGAGCGCATTGTTTCTCGCAATGGCGGCGGCCAGCTCTTGCTGCATCGCTTCCAGGGTCTGGCTATGCTGCAGGTTTGCTTGATGTGTGGCCCGGAATGCCTCATACTCTGCAATGATCTGCTGGTTATGAGCGAGGGCGACGTCGCGCTCCTGCTGCATAGTCTCCAGCAACTGGCTATGCTTCGGGGTTGCTTCGTGTGAGACCCGGAAAGCCTCGTACTCGGCGATGATCTGCTGGTTTTGAGTGAGAAGCTCCTGGTTCCTCGTAATGGCGGCGTCACGCTCCTTCTGCATGGTTTCCAGAGACAGGCTCTGCTGCAGGCTTGCTTCGTGTGCGACCTGGAAAGCCTCCGACTCTGCGCTGATCTGTTGTTTCTGAGCCAGAAGCTCCTGGTTCTTCATAAGAAGCTCCTGAAGCCGGGTTTCATTCTCACGGCTGTGCTCTTCTGCAGTGGCTAGGTGCTTCTCAACGTCGACAAGCCTGTCAGTACAGGCCTGGAGCTCATCTGTGCGTGTCTGTAGTTCATCTGTGCGTGTCTGGAGTGCATCCATGAGTGACTGCAGTTCCTGCTCCTGCTCCTGGCTGAGATGCTGCTGGCCTTCAATGGCAGCCTGTTGGCCGTGTGCCTCTGCGGCAAGCAGACGTGACTCAACGGAAAGGCACCTTTCGGTCCAGATGTTAAGTTCGTCGGTTCGGCTCTGAAGTTCAGTCTTCAGTGACTGAAGCTTCTGGTTTTGGTCGTCGCGCTCGGCCTCGTTCTGTTGACTATGCTTCCGAGCAGCGGATAGTCGTTTTTCAGTGGCTGCGAGCTTATCAGTCCGAATCTGAAGCTCAATCTTCAGTGACTGGATTTCTTGGCTCTGGGCAAGGTGCTGTTCATGCTCGGGTTTCGCCTGTTGACTGTGCTTTTGAGCAGCGGCCAGACGCTTCTCTGCATTAGCAAGCTCATCGGTGCGGATCTGGAGCTCACTCTTCAGAGACTCGAATTCCTGAATTTGAATATGGGTCTGTTTGGGCTCGGCTTCACCCTGTCGGTTATGCTCTTTCGCAGCTGCAAGCTCATCGGTGCGGGTCTGAAGTTCATGCTTCAACTGATCATGTTCCAGTTCACCCTGCTGACTACTCTTCACAGCGGTAGCCAGCCGCTCCTCCGCAGCTGCAAGCTCATCGGTACGGGTCTGAAGCTCACTCTTCAACGACGCAAGCCCCTGGGTCAACAGCTTCTCGCACTCAATCTCCACGCGTCGGCCACGCTCCTCCGCCGCGGACACACGGGTCTCAGCCTCGGAGAGCTTGTCAGTGAGGGTCGTCAACACATCGGTGCGAGTCTGAAGCTCATCCTTGACCGTCTGTAGCTCCTTATTTCTCGCGTTGCTCTTCTTCTTCGCGCCAGCCAGCTGCTTCTCCAGCTGCACGATGTGGTCTTTCAGGAACTGCTCCCGTGCCGCGTCCACTTCATCCACGACGACGAACTGGGCCTCGGCTCTGGCCATGGTGAGATTATTCTCCAGCTGGACGACCTTCTTCTTCAACTCGTCGATGATGCCCGCGTGCGCGTCATTCGCCTGGCGGAGCGCGCTCTGGACCCTGCGGGAAGTGAGGTCGGTCTGGTGACGGACGGTCTCTTCCAGCCGCTGCTTCTCCGCCTGGAACTCTGCCTCCCTCGTCGCCATGCACCGCTGCAGTTGCTCATTCGCACTCTCAAGAGACTTGGACAGATTCCGCAGGTATGCCTCGCATTCAGTGGGCCGGGGCTCGCCGTCCACCGCCAGCACCATCCCCCGGCGTAGAGCGGCGACTCTGTTGCAGAGAGCATAAAAAAGCCACAGCCCTATAACAAGGGTCGGGATCAAGACAGCCATGAAGGCAAGAACGCGGAGATGGCGGACCTCGCTGCCCACAGGTGGCACCAGCCACTGCGCGCGGTCCTTGATCGTTTCGTACAGCTCCAGCCCCGTCTCCACGCCGGAGCAGCGGTAGCTCGCTAGCCATTGCTTCTTGGTCCAACGATCCGGTAACCCACTGCGCGCCATGGCGGCAAGGCAGTCTTCGTAGCGGCCCCGTCCCATGGGGCTGAGGCCCGCGGTTATGCCGTTCAAATAATGGTGGCCTGGTATCAGCGCAGAGATGTACATCCACTTCGACCCGGCCGCTAGGGCCCAGAGGCGGCCTGCGGTACTTAAAGGCCGGCTGGTTGGAAAGAACCAAAGCATTCCGATAAAGGTCAGTTGGACCAGGTTAGAATTGAGGATTGTATCATGGGCGTTGGCGTAACATAAACGATAGAAGCTCGGGCGAGAATCGGGGGAGGACAGCTGCTGGACGGCCCAGTGGATATCGTGTAGCAAGGAGCGGATAGGCGAAATGATGAATCTCTGGGCCCCGGTCAGGGTCAAGGGCGCCAGGTCCGGCAGGAAACAGATGATGACTGTGATAAGGATTATGGCTTGGAAGAGTATGGTGCCCCCGTTGGTCAGATCGAGGTACGTCAGCACGTCGAGGCTTGAGGTGTGCGCCGGATCGGTGACCTGCCCGTAGAAGAAGATCTGTTCTGCGGCGGTTGACATCTTGTCGGATGAGGTCGAACCTGACGCTCAGAGGCTCTTGGGTGGAATGTTTTATGAAGTGATGAGAGGATAGGCTTTACACGTCTGTGTTGCTATGGTCAGTGGATGCTGCTCGCGTCTTGAGTGGTAAAGATGGATAGCTTACAAGTAGGAAGAAGTAGGATGATGAGAGACAGGTTGAGATCCTTTGGAAGACCTGAAGAATTCTATTCTTCTGTAAAGCTATCACAGCACGCGTCTGGCCGTCGAAGCTTCTCGGTGTCAATGTCACCAAAGCCTCTTCAGGCCTCCAGACATATGTCTGGGACTTTCAAGCGTCTTTCACAGGGAAGGAGTCTTGTCTTTCAAGCTCTTGGAAGGATGTAGAAGGTATCAAATGATTGCAAGTTTGCGAAAGAGATCTGTGGTTTGAAGGAGAGAGATGAGGGAGAGAGATGTGGAGGAAAGATGATGAGAAGAGAGGCGAAGAAGGAGAGAGATGTGGGAGAGAAAGGTAAATTAATAGAAGGCGAAATTTATGAAGGATAGAGTGAGGATGGGTTGCTACGGAGAGTAAGGGAGTCTAGTGAATATCAAACTCATGTTGTCGTGGGGGAACCAAGTATCGTCACCCATAGTAACATGATCACTTCATTCTCCCAGGCCAACATCAGGTAAGTGACCAGCAAAAGTGAATCTTTCATAGGGAAATTAGACTACTTTGGCCTTATTACTACTCTCGAATATCGAAGAACAACTCTGACAGCTTGTACCATACACAATTGGCTAGAACACCGAAAACAAGCACTGTATAAGAACCCTGCCATACAAGCTCGATAGATCAAAGAACCTTTTCCTGAATTCCGTGGATTTGCTACTTTGAACGCATATATGCACACCAAATGACTCTGCCCCATTAGATTGGCCTGCCTCCTCATCCATACCACCAGGCCAACATCCACCCCCGTTCTATCTACTTGGGCCCAACAATTATATGCAGTATATATCTTCAGCCGTAGCTTCATTTTCCTCAAGCCTGATTCTTCTTTGGGATCCTGGGCAATCCCAGCCACAACAGCAAGATTCCTCCAGAAAGCCCGATGATGAAGGGCTGCAACACTTTGACTCCGCGTGCCTGCGCAATAGCACCCACAGCGAACGGCAGGATAGCAGCGCCTCCGCCGCCAAACGCAGCCGCGAATCCAATGGCACTGACGTGAAGATGGCGAGGGAGGAGCTTGGTAGCCACCACCACCGCGGCCGGGAAGAACGGTCCCAGGAAGAATCCTTGCAGAGAAACAGCCACTGCGGATGAGTAGAAGTTCGGGACCAACCAGAGGACAAGACCTGCGGCGATAGCGCAGCAGGAATATATCTGCGGAGTGACGATGTCAGAAGAAATCGTGCATGGGTCACATTTAGGAGGGATTGAGAGTTGACGCATTGGATCTATGGAGCCTGGCGAGGCGAAGAATGACCGGACTGTGCAGTACAATGGGCAAGGGAAACATACTATAATTGCCAACTTCTCGCCGATGCGCGGAGTGATAAATCCTAGCGCCATGCGCCCCACCGTGATCCCAAGCCAAAACCCGGTAGCTGTCATCCCACTTGCGAAGGACTGACCATGTCGGACCTGGATCATGAATGTCACGATCCAGCCGCCCAAGGCGACTTCGATACCGACATATCCCAGCAGGAAGATGGCACAGATCCAGGTAACCCGCGCATAAGACTTCTTGAACAGCACATCACGAAGCCCTGCCTTGTTGTCATCATCTGACTGTGGCTCTCTCGCTTTGTCTCGTTCTGCCGATGCGTCCCAGAAGGCTGCGGCACAGACGGCCAGTTCAGTGGCCGCGCAGGCGATCTGCAGGCAGTAGAAAGAAGAAACATGTAAGCAAGAGCTTAGAACGATACAGGGGTTGGAGGGAAACCACCAATCTTACCAGAATATAGTAGTAATAGTACCACGGCACATGGGCCTTTGTGATCAACGACGTTGCGATTAGAGGGCTGATCACACCTCCAACACCATAGAGTCCATGAAGGAGCCCCAGAATCTGGTTAGAGTTGGCCATGTTACCTATCCAAGCATTCCACGAGGCATCCCCAAGTCCATTTCCGAAGCCTGCAAAGATGAACGAGACGACCAGGACCGGGTAGGGGGGGTGACAACAATTGATGATATACGCGATCACATGGCAACTGGGCGTCAACACGGCCACTCCTCGACGGCCTAGTTTGTTGTGAATTCGGCTGTTCAGAAAGGCAGCCGCGGTGTAGCCGACTAGCGGTGAAAAGAAGACGAGGGACACCACAGTGTAGGAGAGGCGGTAGTAGCTTTCCAGCTGCAGCAACTGTTCAGTGGCGATCCCACGGCTCTATGACGGTCGCACGCTTACATAGGGAATAAGAGGCTACTATGGTCAGTCTCGATCAAGTTCCAGATAAGAGGGTAAGGCGATCACTCACCCCGTAGGCTGCATCATTCATACCCATGACCAGAAAACTCCAGAAGGTGGCGAGGGTCTTAAAGACATTAGAGCGAGGATAGTTCCATCGCTCAGCCTCGTGGAATACCTGCGCCGGTTCTTCGTTGGAGTCGAGAGAATTCGCCTGATTCGTGTTGCGGAGGGGAATCGGCTCCTCCATTGCAGCCATGTTGGGGTCAAAAAAAATGAAGTGGAGTAGTGCGTTTGGACCCAGCAGAGTGAGGGGAAACTCGCACGAATATATATATGGTGAGGGTCACTTCCTTGCCAAGGCTGCCAAGTTGGTAGTGATGATAATTCCGATTCAATGCTTGATGGCGGTGGAGACCCCATCCTGGGTCCCTGGGCCCTGAGCCCTCGTGCTGGCTTATTACCCATTTTAGGCTTATTTGCACAGAATCTCCGCTTTTTTAGCTGGTACGCTACTTGTGCTGTATGAGGTCACTACTCACAATGTGCAGATATCGCAGTCATCCCGGTGCCAACACGAGGCACCAGCAATATAAATGTATATAATAGCTTTTGGTCGGTAGTGTATCCTTATCTGATCGAAGGGGACTCCTTGCATCAAACTTTATCTACGTACACCATGGTTGACGTCCCCTGGTCCGTTACACAACATCATACTCATAAGATGATTGGGGTTCTCAATATGCAGTTTGCTTTCCAACCCGGTCTTCATCCGACTGGGCTGGAGCTCCGATACATATATGTAGCCGATTTATTTTCTATCAGAGGTGGGTCTGCATGCACATGGAAGTATTGTACGTATGTACAATTTTGTGCGATCTGATGCCGGCGATGCGTCTTCATGCAGTTAGGCGGAACTGGATACACGCTCAGATTGAAGTGATGATAGCGGCTCTGAGAAACAATCTCTTAAGCACAAAAGTGTGTATTCCGTGCCGATGACGTATATCGGACGGAAAGATAGCAAGCATCGAAGAGAAAAAAAAGGGACAAAAAGAATGGTCATATTGCATCATCCGTGAATCGAACACGGGCCTCATCGATGGCAACGATGAATTCTACCACTAGACCAATGATGCTTATTGATACATGTTCGAATCTTAAGATACACTGAGTCGTTACTACAACGCGTGAGAAGAAAATAGAGCTTACCCACGAAGTAGTACACCAAATTACGTATAGCCCTGAACAATATGGCCGAGAGGTGTATTACTACAGTCGCTCCGTGTATGATTAAGGTATGAGACTCACGAACAAGCAATCTTGCAACTTCCATTTATTCTTACATTTAGTCAACCCGACTTCTCTAAATCATATTTTCCTTTTTCATCGACCTCGAATCCCTATCTCACAAATTGTGAATATTTCCCTCAATACGTATACTTCCTCCTTGGAAAAAAGGAGTGCTATCTATGCTGCTTTCCGAGCATTCTTACAAAAAATCAAATGAAGCCAGTCGAATGAATATACTGCATCACCCATTGCTCTGTCCAGCAGAGTCCACTTCAAGCACATACAGGGCGGGTTATTCTGGCGCAAGAAGAGGTGCATCCTCCGCGTGCAAATCACCACTTTTGGAGCCATGCCCACGCCGCTTGCGACGACGTTTCTTCTTCGATCCGCTGCCATCCCCATTGCCGAGATTAACAATCTCCCCATTCTGTTGAACAGGGAACTGGGTCTGGGGGGTAACATTGGGTGTATCAGACTCGGAGGAGCTGGTGGCGGTGCTAGTGGTATGGAGAACTACTTTGCGGATGCCGTTGACGTCGACCACCTGCTCCGTGATACTACCACTGCGGGCGGGACCCTTGTGTCGGTAGCTGCCGGGCCGGAGACGATCAGAGAGTTCGGAGTCGGTCGACTGGAAGCTATGCGCAGGGCTGTTGTCCTGCTGTGCACGAGTGCTGGGGCGAGTGTTATCGTCCTGTTCCTCATGGACAGCTTCCGGTATGGAGAGTGCCGGCCCGTCGCTCATCCGCGCCGTATCGGATAGGGAGCGACCATGACCTAACGTGCCGTAGCCTGCCCGAACGGCATATACACCGTCTCGCGCATCCATTCCGCCTTGCACTAATCCGGCACCAAGGCCGCCCTGCAAGCCAGAAGAAGTGCTTCTAACCAAGCCGTCCGCGCTCTGGCGAGACTCTAGATCAGTATGGCCAGATCGCGAGGGAGAGGCACTCCGCTTGATCTTCACACTCTGATATCTAGTCTGACGAGGCCGGCTGGCAAGATTTGAAGGGCCGAGATGCTTCAAGTGCTCACGAATTTCGTCCGTCGCACCTCGTTGAGTCACCAAGCCATCGGTGGAGTCGGAATTCCTGTCTGAATGGGGACGACGAAACTGGAAACGAGGCAAGGGCGCTTCGACAGAGCTTCGCCGGTTTTCCTTCGAGGCACCGTTGGTCGGGGGTTCCGCGGTGGATTCGCCTTCGATGTCGATCAGCGGGCCACCTGATTCGACAGGTAGCATCGGGGGGTCTTCCACAATCCGGCCTTTAGGGACTCGAGACTTGGGAGCCGGAGCCATACGACGGATCGCCTTGTGAACGTCGACAAAAACATCGGATTCATCGATGATCTCCCTATGATAGAATTAGCCATGCTCCTTCTCTGGTGTAGATGAAGTACATACTCTCCGATCAATTCCTCGATCACATCTTCCAAGGTGACAACGCCCAAAGCGCCGCGATCTTCACCCGGATATTCCGATACGAGAACCATGTGAGACTTGCCCTCTTGGAAAAAGTTGACAATGTCCAGACAGCTCGTCTCCGGGCGCGTCTCCGGAAGAGTAGCTAGGGCGAAATCCCGGACCCGTTTGCAATCTTCAGGGTCATAAGTGATGAGCATCTTGACCAACAGCATGCCGACGAAATTCATGTCATTGTCGGGCGCATGAATGGGGATACGGGAGTATCCCTGAGACAAAATAAGATCCATTGTTTCTTCGTCAAGTATAGTGTCCGCGGACATGGTGAAGACATCTTCCATGGGAGTCATGATGCTGCCAACGGACTTGTCCTTGAGGTCCAAGACAGCACTGATGATCGTGACCTCATCCGAGTTCAGCTGCTCCCCAGCTTCACCCAAGGTCTTATGCAGCGTAACCAGGGTTTTTAGGCCCGCTTTCTTGTAAATGGTTCCGTGGTCTTCCCCAAGCAGCTTGTCGAGCAATTTGGCAACAGGGTAGGCCACGGGAGACATGATGTACATAAGCGCCAAGACGCAGGGGGCCATCCATGCGCCGATAGGCAACCCGTACCGGACGCAAATGGATTGAGGCACGATTTCGCCAAAGATCACTAAAACACATCAGGCGGACGATAAGCAAGGACCTCTCGCGCCAAGGAAGAGGGATTTTCCCGTACCAATCAAGACTGTACTGCCGAGCACTGCTGGCCAGCCACCTCCCAGTGACCGATCGAGCACAATTGGAAGAGTTTCGTTGGTGATCACGTTGCTGAGAAGGAGAGTCACCAGCACCCAGTGCTTTCCCCGCTGCAACAGTCTCAGCACGCTTGCTGCATTTTTGCGTTCGCCCTCTTCACCAGAGGTTTGAATAACTTGTAGATAAACTTCATCCTAGATTCCCCGCGGGAGTGCATTCCCCAGAAATTAGCCTCCCGAAAGTGCTCGCAATGCGATGAATGAGGTCAAGGTAGACACGAAGGAGGGGAAAAAAAATTACCTGGCCCATTAAAGCTATCGTCAGACCAGCAAATGCACCACCGCTCAAGACCAGAGCAGCGGCAACTCCGAGATAGAGCCATAGACTAGGGTCGCTTGGAGGTTTGGGATCGACTTCGGAATGAATGACATAGGTAGGAGCGGCGGAGATGAGAGGCAGGTTCACACAGGCGAGAGTCAACAGCTTGGCAAGACCAAGGACGAGAGGCCGAGCGGCCAATATGCGGGTGGATGGGGATATCGCCATCACCGATGGGACAGATGAGAAAGAGGAATCTCGAAGAAAAACAGAAGGAGGGCCCTGAGCCTGGGCTACAACAAGGACATATTTATTTTAAAGACTAAGCAGTAGCGGCGGATTTTCGTTTGGGGGGGGATGGGGGGCGGGTGTGGGTGTGGGAGGGGATGAGATGCAGAGAGAGAAAGGTTCACGTTGCCTTAGTGGTCGGGCTAAGAAGGGCGCGGCGTGCGATCGGGTCAGTGCCGTAGTGGATAGAGTGACGTCGCCCCCAGTCAGGAAATAGGGAGAAAGGCGGCACAGGAGGTTAAGGAGGCGATCGCTCGTCTCCTATAAATATGATTTGAGTAAATCTTGTTCAGGAGTGCAGAGGGTCCCCAGGGGGAAGGGTTTCGCCTTGTGAAACTTCAGGAGAACCCCATACTGTTAAGATAAGACGGATGGATGATTGTTGATTGTTGATTGTTGTTCACGGACAAGAATTGAATTCTGGAAAGAAAGAAACTCAGCTCTAGCTCTGCACAGGGTCTAGCCCGGCGGAAGGAGTTGGAAGCTGGTGCCAGTGATGATGGGGGAATGATTGATACCTGAGGTATCCACGGTAAATAGCCGGTCGCGGCCGTGTTCGTCAGGCCCTCGCCTCGTTACAATTTCGATGAGGGAAAGGAAAGATCCGGGTAATCTGCCTTCGAACTCTCACCAATCAGATGCAGGAACTGCGATCTTGACCCAGAGGCTGGTCCGTGCCCCGTGACAGCTGTTTGCGAAGGAGGATGAGTCAGCCGTATAACCCTCTGTACATATACTGTTGTACAAAACAAACCATCTTACCTGGGTAGGAACCACACTTGGTCATTTTGGGATATTATAGATGACAACTAATTTCGCAATGCAAGCGCGTGGGCTATGCGCTGCAAAATTTTCTCGGTAGTCCAATTTCTTCCTCTCATCCTTACCTCGTATCGGAGTAGCTTCATTTCTCGTTAGGAAGGCATTGACCTAGCCGGACACAGCATGAGAGCACGTGTCTCAGTGCCTCATGAGATGTGGTTGGGGGGGGGGGGGGAGGAGGACGAGCCCAAGGTGACCAACTGACATATTCACAACCGAAGCTCGTCAACTACAAAATGAGGTTCCTCCTCCAGATCTTGTATATCTTTGTATGTCGATTGAGGCAAGCTTAAAATCCTGCCGTTCTTCTGAAGGGTTTTCTAGAGGAACTTGTTCACCACATAAGATTCAGGTTTGTGATCATTAGTGTCCAGCAAATTCGAATTTATTTATGAGCTACTGTAGGCTACCTACTCAATAGAGACATAAAAGATTCAAACAAGTAGCACTAGCCTACTGAAAGGGGCCCTGTGTGTCTAGTCTCCACTGCTTCAGAGCCCAGGCCAAACCCTGCGCCAGCGCTAATGAAGTGCTCTAATCCATAACAGTAATGGACTAGCATCATCTACCAGAATGAAGAGTTGCCTGCACACGTGCTCTCATCCGTTTCAGGCTATGGTCTACGGTCTACACAAAGAAAACCGCTTTAGCGAGCCCTAAGTGGGAGTAGTACAGCAAGATCAACAACAATCTTCGTCCTCTCGTCCTTTCTACACCTGGGACAGGTAAAAAGCTGGGTTAACTCTAACTGTCTCAATGTGACTGAAACCCACAACCCAAAACTGAGCCCGACTAGGATGTGTGTTGTACAGTTCATCAAGACATCGGTTACACACAGGTCATACGAGCTGAGCCGGCAGCGGAAAGAGCTCCTGTCTTATGTGGTCGATCCACCAGAGGTGCCGATTGATATCACCGGTAGAATAGCCAACCGGACATGTAGATCGTTGTGATTGTTTGATCTAAACTTTTGCCATACTAAAGTATGTACAAAGATGTACCCTACCACAACTCCAAAGTGTAATGCTCGAAATTTAGTGCAGAAACCCAAGAGGCAACGGAAACAAACGACCTCAACCAAATCATGTACTCATCAAATGATGCAGATAGAACATATGCATGAGTTTATTGCAGGAGAGGATCCTGGACCTCATGTTAGCTTGGTCGCTTAAATCATAGAGGGGAGGACATACGCGGAAGTGTTTTTGGTTGTTGCCTGCGCGGTTGACCCGAGCCATGTGCCGCATCTCTTGTCGAATAGCCCGAGTGCGCTCCTTACGCTCGCTTTCCACAACAAGGCGTTTCTGGGTGTCTGAAACACCGATCATTCCCGTACCGCCGTTGGCACGGGTGATGAGGGCTCGGTTGAGGTTACGACCGCGAGGTTTCTCATCCACATCCATAGCCTCGCCGTTCTCGATGGCGAGTTGATGGGCCGCACGCTCATCGGCAGAGGGGTAGTTGTGGAGGTTCTGGCGATAGTACTTGGCAAGGGAGCGGTGGCCAACGCTCTTCCCAGAAGGAAGGTGGAGTTCATAATCAGTGGCGTAGACCACGGGTGCGCTCTTGCGGTTGTCCAGCTCATCTTCATCGACGGATGACGCGGAGGTCTCAGTCTCCCAGCCCTCATCCTCGCCCTGAATCTTAACTCCTCCTTCCTCGGGCGTCTCGCTATTTGTGGACTCCCAATCACCCTCATCATCGGAGTAAGTGCTGCGGAAATCATAGTACTGGCCGATCTCAATCTGCTCATCCTCGGACTCGAAAGCAATCATGCAGTGGCCCTTGTCTTTCATGTGAGTGCGGATAGCGGCGGGGCTATTCTTGATAACATGACAGTAAGTGCATTCGCTGTTCTCATTAATCTTGCGGTAGAGGTAGTTGAGGAGACCTTCCAAGTCGGCCAGATACTCCTTCTCCGGGATGAACATGCCGTGGGCTTTGAGCATGTGCTCAGTGTTCTCCTGGATATCGGCTGCCGTGTTGGGGCAGAACAAGCAACGGGCAGACGAGAAAGAATCATCGGACATCTCTTCATCTTCACCCTCTTCATTTTCCTCTTCAATGGTGGCCTCCTTCAGAGTATCGGCCACCTTAGACACCTCTGCCTCACCGACGCGCTGGGGCTTATTGATAGGCTCGCCCAAGGAGAAAGTAGAGCTCATGACTGACGAGGCATCGTCGGCATGTTCGCGTTTCATACGTGCTTCGCGGGCCTTGTGCTTGGAGCTCTTGATATGGTTTTGATATGAGTTTTCGCTGTAGAAAGTCTTCTGGCAGGCGACGCAGGTCGTTTCAAAGGCGGCCTTGGCGGCGGCGGCAGTGGTGGTCGCTTTGGCGGCAAGAACCTTCTCGTTGAAAGTTTCCTGAGACACGGGAGGCAGAGATGCAATGCGACGCTTCATGTTATACAAGCTGGTTTGTAGGTGTCAGTCGCTGAGCTCAACAAAAGGCAGGACGGATGGCTTCCAACTTACTGCCAGTCTCGGCGCATGTGGTCCCGCTGCGCATCGCTGCCGCGAAACGCAATAAGACAGGTGTTGCAGGTGTATGGAAGGGATGCCATTTTTATTCAAAGTGACAAAGAGTGGCGCTCAGCAAAATGGGTATCACGAAAGTAGAAAAGTTGTGGAAGACGGGTAGAAAAAGTCGTTAGGCGGTTGTGGGTGTTATCAAAGCGGGGTATATATTTTCTTCACTGAACAAAAGTTCACCTCACAAAACAGCAGCTCAATAAAGATTGACCACTGTACTCTCGAAGAAAGTGGAACAAGGAATTTCAGCCAGACAAAAAGTTGTGACGAGGAGGGTGGTGTAAGAAACAACCAGAAGTTTGAGATATTCGCCCCTCGGAGAGTATTGATAATCAGCGCCGATAACTAATTAGTGTTCGTCCGACTTTTTGCATGCCTGAAAATCCTCGCCTTGCCGCTTTTACTCGTCGCTGGAATGACGTTCAGGCACGTGCCGTCCTGACTTGAGTAGGCTCAGAAACCGGGAGTCACGTGGCTCTCGGATTATTATTTGTTCCAGCTTCTGTTAGCCTACTTAGTAATTTGAAGGCCTGAGGCGGCGACCACGTCGGGGAATGCCCGTGAAGTGCCCAGTGCCCAGTGCTGTGCTGTGCGTGCCATGATATCGATCATCTGCCCTCCGTGCGCACGTCTTCCACCCCTCCTCACTGCACCACCGCGCATAAACAAGCAACACTACTATTACTGCTTCGGGCCATTCAAGATACCCCCTTTAACCAAGGTAAGGTATTACTGCCTGTACAAGCAACTTCCTCTTCCCCCTTCAATTTTCTGGTTGGGTGGTCGCGGCATGCTCCGCAGGTTGTCAAGATGACGAGGCTCCGCGGAGCTTCCGTGAGCTCATATGACGCCGCGCGCGGCGCTGGTTCCGACCGATCGCATCTACACCGATCCAAGCTCCCTCCCAACGCGCCGGAAATTGTTGTGTTGAACACAATCGATGTCTCCGACCCGGCTCAGGTTTTGCTCTGGTGTCGCGATGAGCGACGGCGCCAATTTAACCTTCTGGTTCGCAGGTGAGTGAGATCGGATGAAACGCAACTATCATACAATCCAGCAGTAGCTGACGGAAGGACCAAGATATAAGAACCAGCTTATGTACGGCTGCTTGAACCCTGGCTGTCAGACCCCAACCTGCGCGAGCTATCGGAGACGGATCACCGAAGGACCATATCGCCGTTATACAGAACTGAGTGCCCGGACCCTGGCTTGCTACTTGGCCAGTATAGACAATGCCGAAGCAGGACTCTGCTGCAACCCTCCTAGGGTACCATACGAACTGTCACCATATGAACCACAGCGCCGACCGAAACGCCGAAGTCGCACCCTGGTTGAACCTGCAGAGGCACTGGGCTCAATCGGGAGAAACCCCGATGACACGGCGGTCGTACGCCAGGACTCCCCAAGATCACACGGTCGGCTGATGCTGTCGAGCTCGGACAAGGCCGCAGACATTAGCACGCCTCAGGAGGCGGACTCGTCTGAGCAGCAAGCGGCATTGTCGGAGGATGAACACGCTGCAGCCCAGAGACAGAAGGATCCCAAATCGTTTACGCAAAACCTTTTCGACACCTTATCCTTGAGAATGATAGAGTGGTTACCTTTACGGCGGTCTCCGACCGCTCTCGACGCAAACATTGACCAGCACCACACTCGATCGGAACCTAGGCTGCCGAAGAGCGAGCCTGAGCAGACGCCTTCGCATTCTCAACGGACGAGACCACATATGAGCCGACAACGTACACCTCAAAATGCCATCCTTGCTGGTGGTACACCACATACTCCCTCATCGCGGAACGGCACTAGTCAGAACACCGCATTAGAGCTAATGGTACCGATTACGCTTACGGAAATGGATCAATGGCGTCGGAGTGGACGGGCGAATTTGGATGAGAAATCCCACCATGAACTGAAACCGGCGCGCAAGATCCCCGTCAACGCACATGCAGATAACGACGGATCGGCCAATGTGCCCTCACCACCCGCCTTGAGACATCGTCCTCAAAAGCATCGGGGGAGGGTCGGGGACATGGATAACATTGACCTGGCTTTGCAGCAGAAGAAGGAGCGGCGAGTGTCTTGGGATGGGGCAAAATACTTGAATAATGTTCAGTTTGTCGATTACTTGGATCCGGTCCCGTCTGTTGAAGAGCATCTTCCCTCGCAAGCTCAATCACCTACTGATCGGAAGCCCAGCCGTCGCAGCCCCAGCCGAAAACAGTCAGCAACGGCTGTCCAGTCGGTGAGCCATCTTAATAGCGAGGTGGTGAATGGATTGGCGCAGATGACGGCAACCTCCGAGGATGAGGAGGAGCGGTGGAGGAAAGAGCTTGCCCACATAGAGTTCACCGGCGGCTTTGAAGATTCCGAATGGCGCTTTGCGAACTCCCGACAGCGACAGGTTTACAATTTCATCGCACAGAGCGTGTTCTTTACCTTGAGCAGCACGAAACAGATACTGAGGTCGTTTCAAAAGCATGCGGCTGATTCATCCGAAGCGGATCAGAGCAGAGCAACTTCTAACCTTGATTTACGACAGCTACAGCCGTCGTTCATCAAGTTACTCAGTATCTGTCCCCGAGATGTTGTATTCCACAGCTTGTGGGTTGCGATGGAATCGTTATTTGTGCCGTCAAAAGAGCTATCGGCATCGGGCAGACGTTCGCGTCGTTCGTCTTGCAACTCCGCTACGTCCGCTTCTATCCCTGCTCCTATCCTTCGTCGGTCCAGTTCAGTGGGCATGGAGCATCTTACAGATACCAATGCTGCGGATGTTGCTACAGTCACCATGTTCGCTCTCGCGAGCTCGCTGCCTAGGGTCGATGCGCCTACATGGCGCGCAATCCTTCAGATGCGTGCTGCGGGCGGCGTGGCATCCGGCTCAGAGATGCAGAAGCATTCAGTATCCAGGTCTCGGGTAATCGTCGAGACTATCGACATGTTCGAGCATGAGCTTGCTCTACGACTGGTTGATCGCCTGGTGCGGGGTCTCACGGCACGCCTGGCGTTCAACGAGATCTCCAAAGCACGCCAAGTCTACTCGCGGGATTTTACCAAACGTCGCAAGGACAGCGCTCTGGACCGTCTTGTGGACAACCTGGTCCAGGAACATAACGTCATGTCAGCCGCCGGCACCACTCAGGAGCAGCCACCCCAGCCCGGGGCCCCATCGTTCGTCGCCGAATGGCTCCGGACTCTGCTGTTGCGGGAGTGGGATGGTAATCCCGAAATGCCAAAGAGCAGTTCTGCTGGCGGAGCTGTACAGATCCTGGCCAAGTTGTACAAGGAGCGGAACCGTCTCGGCCTTGTACCGGAAGACTTTCACACTTCATTTCTTGCCGAAAGGCTGGAGCCTCTGGATATGCCAGTGGAATGGCTAAATCGATTGCCGAGTAACAAAACCATGCATCTTCTGTCGTATCCGTTTCTGTTTCCGCCCTCCTCACTCGTTATCTATTTCCGCGCCTTGAATTATGCGGCCATGTCGAAATACTACGAAGCGGCGTTGACGACGACGAGGCACGTCACACAAACTGCGTTCGGGCCTATCCATATTCACGATGACGTCGGCCTGCTGGCACGTATGAAGACGTCGATGACCACCTACCTCGTTCTTACTGTGCGCCGAGATAGCGTCCTCACGGACGCGCTCAACCAGCTCTGGCGGCGCGAGAGGCGCGAGCTCATGCGACCTTTGAAAGTGCAGATGGGAATGGATGAGGGCGAGGAAGGTCTCGATCATGGCGGGGTCCAGCAGGAATTCTTCCGTGTCTTGATGGCAGAGGCTCTGGATCCAGCGTACGGCATGTTTACGCTGGATGGACGAACCCGCATCTCCTGGTTCCAGCCATGTTCCTTGGAGCCACTCTACAAGTTCGAGCTCCTCGGGCTGCTGATGTCCCTGGCTGTATACAATGGGCTTACACTTCCGGTCAACTTTCCCACGGCGTTCTACCGAAAGCTGCTAGGACTCAAGGTCAAGCAGCTTGACCATATTCAAGACGGCTGGCCGGAGCTCACCAAGGGATTGGAGGACCTCCTCGCGTGGGAGGAGGGTGATGTGGGAGACGTTTTCCTGCGGACCTACGAGTTCAGCTACGAAGTTTTCGGCAACGTCGAGACGGTGGACATGCAGAAAATTGATAAGGAAGCCCCGTGGCCGACACCGTTCCTGCCCCTCCGACCACCCCTAACCGGCACTCGGTCTCTCGGGTACTCGCCACCATGGTCGGAGGTCCGTCATTACACGGACCACGTCAATTTGAGTCCTCCCTCATCTATGGCAGCAGAAACGGCGGGTTCGTATCGGGACGTGGCCAAGTCCGTTGATCCCTTGCCCGCGCTGGCGGCTCAGTCGCCTACTCCCCCGGCAGAGGAAGCGTGTCTCGTGACGAACGCCAATCGCGGGCAGTTTGTGAAGGATTACATCTTCTGGCTGACGGACAAGTCCGTCCGGCCACAGTTCGAAGCCTTTGCCAAGGGGTTCTACACCTGCTTGGACCGGACCGCGCTATCGATCTTCACTGCCGAGTCATTCAAGACCGTGGTGGAGGGCATTGAGACGATTGATATGCGAGAATTGGAGCGTCACGCGCGGTACGAAGGCGGGTTCAGCGCGAGTCACCGGGTGATTCGGGACTTCTGGAGCATCGTGCGACGGTACCCTGCGGAAAAGAGGGCACAACTATTGGAGTATGTGACGGCTAGTGACCGAGTGCCGGTCAATGGGATTGCGAGCATCATGTTTGTGATTCAGAAGAACGGAGTTGGGGATGCTGTAAGTCACTGGCCCTTTCGCTCGACTACCGACTGTAAACTGTACAGTCGTACTGACAAACCGCAGCGCCTTCCCACGAGTCTGACGTGTTTCGGACGATTACTGCTTCCTGAATACTCATCCAGAAGTGTTCTAGAGGAGAAGCTGAGCAAAGCGTTGGAGAACGCACGAGGATTTGGCGTTGCATGAGAGGACATACATACCCAGGGGGAGCTGTATAGTTGTTATCTACTCTTGGTATTTATTCATTATAGTCATACATACCCGGTTTTTATAGGCATATGGATGGTGGGGACATTGGGGCATTATCTAGGGACTGTGGATATGGGAACTGGAATTACTCAGATACATATACTCGACTTATAACTGCGAGATTCGTGGTTTGTAATGTTGCCACCGGTAACCACTCCGTCAGTAAAAGAAGCAGGTGTGCGGGCGTGGGCGGAAGTGATTCGCCGCCTCCCCTGGCCCGCCACTTGTACCGTACCCGCTCTTTCGGGCTCTTTTCTCGGCATAGATTCATCCATCTTTCCTCTCCTCTCTTGTCTCTTGAACTTCTCATTCTCTTCCTCCTCAATCTGATTTTTGCCCCTCGTTGCGAATAATCATTTCCCTGTTCTGTCTTCTGCTAGACTATTGGAACATATCTCTTATATCTACATATATATTAGAAGTGAGTATATACCCCATTTACAGCGTCAGATTGTGGCGTTTCCCCTCCTTATCCAAATTTCACTATCAGCCCCGCTACCCCACGTTGCTCTGACTCTATGCTGACCTTGACCCTTCCACTTCAGACCCCAACTAAACCTACAATTACTAGACCGACCATGCCCCCAATCGTTCACTGCGTTCGCCATGCCCAGGTAAGTAGTCTATTCGCATCGAGACTTGCCTATGATTAACGCCTACTGCCCTAGGGTGTGCATAACCTTTGCACTGCCAACCACGTCATCCACGATCCCCTCCTCACCGACCTGGGCAACGAACAATGCAGCACCCTCCGCGATACCTTCCCCCGCCACGAACACATTGACCTGGTGACCGCCTCTCCCCTCCGCCGCACCCTCTACACCGCACTCCAGAGCTTCGAGCCCGTCTTCAAGGCCCGCCCCAGTCTCGAAGTGATTGCTCTCCCGGATGCCCAGGAGACCAGCGATGTGGCATGCGACACGGGCAGTGACCCAGATGTGCTGCGCAAGGAGATGGAGGAGAAGAAACTCCCTGTCGACTTGAGCTTGGTCTATGAAGGTTGGAACGTGAAGGTATTCTATTCCTGTTCAGTCTTTGCCTAAGATGGCCGGATGTGCTAATGGAGAGGGGAGAATGTACAGTCCGGCCGATTTGCCCCCACCAACAAGGCGATCAAGGACAGGGCCCGCGCGGCGAGACGGTGGTTGAAGGGGAGACCGGAGAAGGAGATTGTTCTGGTCACGCATGGCGGGTTCTTGCACTACTTCACGGAGGACTGGGAGGATAGCAGTCAGTTCCAGGGTAGGTGGTCATGGTGCATTTGTTGGAGATCTGGACGAAAGCTAACTCGGGATAGGAACTGGCTGGTCGAATACGGAGTACCGCACGTACGTGTTCTCGGAGGAGGAGGACAGGGATGATCTCGAGGGATATCCGCTGGGCGGGGACAATGCCACCTTGGTAGAGACCCTGGAGTCGCGGCAGCGCCGTGGGAAGTCGGGTCCGATGCCAAACCGAGAGCAGCAGAAGAAGCTGTATAAGATCGGTACGCAGGGCTGGGATGACCAGGGGTTGCAGCTGAGTACGGCGGAGCGTGAGGGTGCCAAAGTGCCGGAGGGCAAGGAAATAGATGGGGTTCGGGCTTAGATGGAGATTGCCTGGCTTTACACTTAAAGATAGGTTTTCTTGAAAGATCGTTGATATACTCGTAGTAGATAATGCATGAAAGACTAGATAGTATCAAAGAATCATCCCTTGTTTACTGGTATACGTGCACCGGCTCGCTGATAACGATCGAACAATAGCATTGTCCCTTCCAAGAACCATCAGGGACAAAGACAGCAACTGCGCAGTGGAAGCCTTTGTCAGTGAGGTTGTTCATAAAAGTCCAATCAGCCCAGTAACCCTGACCCTAACTCACTGTTGACATAACACACGATTCCCCACGCTGCGTGAATCTCAAAATCCCATATGACTGGTTTTGTTTACCCCCCAACATCCCCATGTTTCTCCCCTCACCTTTGCCCTCTTCTCATTCCCCCTCCCTTGGCCTTGACTTTTATATTCGCATATCCTGGGAGATGTCACCTCGAGGACTGACCCAATCAGATCGAGACATCATCTCTGCTTCCTTGATACATCCAGGTTCCTGTAGACCCGTTGGAAGAGTTGACCTTTCTAATCTTACGAGAGACCGCAGATACGCGTCTGTTTATCGCCTCGAGGCATGAGAGGATGAAGTGTGGAGACCACCCTGACCATACTATACTATACTACACTTTCGCCTTCATGACTCTCATGCCTCGTCCTTTCTCCCTCCTTTCGTCCTCCTCCTCCGCCCCCCTCCTCTGTTCTCCCTCCCTCCGTCCTTTCACGCCACTGCAGGATACTCGGTGTCGAGACCATACTCCACTATAACCTCGCCCGGGTATCCAGCATCCTCCGAACGTCCTCCTCCCTCCGTTCTCACCCCTCCGATCCTTCCCTCGGTTTCGACAACCTGACCACAAGGTAAGCTCCACCACTCCTAAGTCCAGCTAACACAACAGGTCCCCAGCGAACAGGCTCGCACCTCACCGCGGTGCTGGGGTCTAGTAGCCTCTCCACGAGGCGAAGCTAAGACGGGTCTTTAGAATGTCTGTCTGCCTTGAGCAGGGGCCGTGACATGCATGAGTAGAGTTTTAGCTTGTGTGCGTGGCTTGATGCAGCTGGTGATTGATACTAGTTACTAGGATCTGTGCGATCCTTGACATATCTGACGATCATTAGGTAGTATGCGCGCGATCCTGTGTCTATCTCAATAAAGAGGAGTCTGAGTACAAGGTGATATTTGCTTCTTTTGTGAATGCTAAGCAGTCGTTGTATGAACTTTGTGCTCCTCGATGCATGTCACGTCGCCTATAGTCTGTGCTTTACAGAATATCCTCCGAGGGAATGTTGGCAGAATGCATAGTGATCTACACGGTCAAATAACCACTAAGCCACACTCCACCGCTTGTTGATCAATATCTTTCGCAAAGTGTTTATACAGGTACCCAGTAAATATGCGTCTGCCTGGGAGAAGAAGGCTTGTACTGAGAACTCCGCTCTAGGCTGTCGACAGGAAGCCTCCCCCGGGCCGTAGCCGTAGACAGTAATCATCGGCATGTCGGCACGCAGAAAGAGTCGGTTCTATTCGACAATGCGACTTGAAACCATGGTGCCTATTTTGTCGGATCCTGCTTTTTTGCTTGGGGAAAAAGAAAAACACAAGATGATCCTGCCGGCAGGATTCCTGTTGCCTATGTAGAAGTCAGAAATGAATGCCAGTTATACTGAGGATATTTGACCTGTTGGTGAGTCGGTATGTACACAGTAGTAGAGAAAGCTATTTATAGCGGGTGGGGCAAAGCAGTGCCCCAGATGGCCTGAGGCAGCCAATTTCCATACCTTCCCGCGATTGTGTTTCATCTTTCATCAATCATCCAACAATCCCCAGACAATAAGATCCAGACCGACACTCCGGAACTCGTTCACTCTTTTGTCGAGTATATAACTTCTCCAATGGCATCCAGTCTGTTGGTGCCTACCTTTGGAATCTTTTCATGATCGGTGAATGAAGCAATCAGCACCATGCTCGACGAGAACCTCCCTAGTACGTCTTCTGCCTTCTGCCCTCTTATGCTCTTCTTCCCTTGTATACCCACCCGCTCACGACCCTCACGGCCTTCACCATGAACCCAACAACCACATCGCGACTGACTGACTGACCAACCCTCTAAAATAGCATTCTACCTCAAACCCTCCCGCCAAACCCCCCACCAAACCACCATCCACCTCTACCAACACGGCAACGACCCGCAACCGACCTACACCCTGCGACACCCGGACCCGACCACGATCGCGACCCCGGCGGACGCCCACAACCGCTACGCGGCCGCCCTCTACGACGCCCACGTCCCCTCCATCCTGTACGGGGAGGTCCTGATTCGCCCGCAATGGACCACCCCGACCCTCTCCGCCGACGCCATTCGCGCCAACAACGGCACCACCCCGGCGCCCGAACCCCTCCTCCCCACCACCTTCACCATCAACCTGTACAACCCGGACCAAACCGTCACCATGCACTTCAAGCCCAAGTCCTGGAACAGCCCAGCGACCTGGTGGTTCGAGATGCCGCAGCACAGCTTCCGGCAGCCGTCGTCGTCGCGGCTCGATCGCACCCAGGCCGACCCGGCCTCCGCCGACATCACCCCGAAGCTGCGGTTCGCGTGGCGGAAGGACAGCAAGCTGAGCAAGGATTTGACCTGCGTGCTGTCGGGCAAGACGACGACGCTCCCGGAGTCCAAGACCAAGGCGAAGGAGCCGGATATCACCGTGGCCATGTTCCAGTCGCTGAAGGAGCTGACCCTCTATGAGCCGAACCTTTACCGCGTGGAGATGGAGGATTTCAAGGGGCTGGAGGTCGTCTTGTTGTTGGCCGCCGTGACGATCAGGGATGTCTGGTTTGCGCCGCAGGGGTTGCGGGAGGCGTTCCGTGTGGGGAAGTCCGGGGCACCGGTAGCAGTTTCGGGGACTGGGGGTGGAGGGAAGGAGGGGGGCCCAGTCAAGCAGCAGAGACCTGTATTGGGTACGACGATGGGGTCCTCGGTGGCTATGGCATCGGGGGCTTTGAATGCTTCGCCCGCGTCGCCTCTAGCGCCGTCATCGTCACCGACGTCGCGACAGCCATCGCAGCAGCTGTCGAAACCCCTGCCGCAACCTGCGGTGTCACCGGCGGAGAATTGGCGCAAAGAGGAGGAGCGCCGAACGCGGCTGCTACTGGAGGAAGAGGAGCGGACGCGACGACAACGTGAGGCGGAGCGCCAGGCGGAGATTGATCGCGAGACGCTTCGTCTGCAGAGGATCTATGGGCAGGAGGAGGAGCGCGTGCGCATGCAGGCGTCCGGGGTGCCGGGGCCCCTGCCCCCGCGGATGAGTGCTGCTGCTGCTGCTGCTCCTGCACCGAGTCTCCCCCTGAGGCCGGCGAACCCGCCACAGCCACACAGTTATCCGTACCAGGATGGACGGCCCCGGATTCATGGTGCAGGGCGGGTGGATCCGCGGCACCAGTCGGTGGTGCGCTTTTCGTTGTCGCCGGAGCAGCAGCAGCAGCAACAGGAACAAGCGAAACCGGCGTTGCAGCCGAAGAAGAGCAGTTTCTTTCGATTACGACGGTCGTCGGCGGATGAGGCGAAGTTGAGTAAGAAGCGGAGTTCGATGTTTTGAAATGATACCCTTGCATATACTGTACCTGCATAAGAGATACGAATGGAGTCATTGTTTTAGGCGTCCCCCGTAAACATATATATTTTATAACCAGGACGCTTCTGTCCTGCTGTGAGTCCACCGTTGCGCTCACAAACAGAGAAGAAGTATACACAGCGTAGCCTCGGCCTCAACACCCTACCCGCTAGGACATCTATCTGATATAAAAGCAATCACAAAGGCCTAGCATCCACCCCCTCCAGCGTGATATTCACGGGCAGAATATTCCCCCGCGCATCGAACTCCATGCGATCGATACACACGACGCGATGATCCCGCGCCGTATCGTTGGGATACCGTCGGTGATAGACGATGTAGTACTCCTCACCGATCGTCAACACACTGTGATGGCCCGTACTCGTCCCGATCTTGTCGTTGCCCTGCAGGATTTTGGTTGGGGTGGAGGTAAACGGCCCCGTCGGCGAGGGACCCGTCACGTAGCTGACGCCGTAGGAGTTGTCACCCCAGCTGTACGTTATGTCAAATCAGTTAGCCCAGCTGCCCAGCCTGCCCACTCCCCCAGATTCAAACACACAACAAAGAAAAGGGAAAACTCACCCCCCCACCGAATACATAAAATAATAAACCCCGCCGCGCTTCAACACCCACGGCCCCTCCACATAATCGGGTGGGGTGATCTCCACAAACTCCCCCTTCAGGGTGGTCATACTCTCCGCATCCACCTCCACCACCACCGCGTGGCCCCAGCCCCCGAAATACAGCCAGACGCGGGGCGTATCTCTGTCATTGTCCCCGTCGCCCCCTCCGGAATCCTGTCTTGAAGATGTACTGGAAGGATAATCCACAAAAACCTGCGCATCGATCGCCTCCGCCCCCATCACCGTGCCATTCACCAGGGGCTCTCCGAGGACGTCCGCGAACGGCCCCGCCGGCGAGTTGGTGGTCGATCTGGCGACCCCGATGCCCGTGCCGTCGCCGGTGGAGAAGTACATGTAGTACTCGTATTCATCCTCCGGGGTTGGTTCTGCTGGAAGGGGGTTGTTTGCGCTGGAGTTGTTTCCACGTTGCGCAGCACCCTTGTCCTTTGTGATAGGCCGTCGAGTCACGGACGGCGCCCACGCCGCGCGGTTCGTGGACCAGGGGACCTGCGTGATGTTGAGGATGGTGGGGTGTTTGGTCCAGGTGATTAGGTCGGGCGAGCTGAAGGCGTCGAAGAAGGTTTGTTCCTCGTAGGCGGCGCTGTAGGTTGGGTAGATCCAGTAGTTCTGGGTCTGGGGTTGGGTTGCTGGGCCCGTGTGGCGGAAGAGGTGGGCTTCTGGGTCGGCGTACCAGGGCCAGGGGCCGGGGAGGGGGAGCGGGTTGCCTGTTTTTAGTACTTGTGGTTGTTCGAGGAGGGTTTGGGGGGTGGTTGCTTGGGTTGGGAGGGGGGTGAGGAGGAAGGGGAGCAGGGAGAGGGAGAGGGAGATGAAGGGGACGGGGAGGGGAGGGTGCATTTTGGGGATTGGTGGAATTGAGGAGGGATGAAGAAATTAAGAAGGGAACGACAGAGGGACAGGCAGATTTAAATCAGAGGATTCAGAATCGGTCGGATGATCTGCAGGCGTGATGGAATGCGGGGATGACCGGGGTATGCAACTAGTCATTGATTTAACTGATCTATGCAGCTAATACTCCATCGACTCCTCCAACAAGGCCCGCAATTCAGCCTTTTCCCCCTCCAACTCACTATTCAAGTTCGGCGCCAGATCCAACACGCGCTTCTGCGGCAGGGTCCCCTCCACCAACGACTCGATATCCCCCCGCTGGAACCCCAGATCCTTCAACCCCCGCGGCTGGTCGCCCAGCTTCACCAAGAAGTCCGCCAGCGCTTCTCCCAGCACCTCGCCCGCGCTCTCCCGTTTCACGTTCGAGATGTCCACGCCGAACGCCTCCGCCGCCGCCAGGTGTCGGTCTGGGTTCGACGCCGCCGTGAATCGGAACACCGCCGGCGCCGTCACCGCCACCGACACCCCGTGCGGGATGATCGGGTGGTCGACATCGTAGCCCGCGTGCTTGTAGCCCGGGTTCTGGCTCGAGATCGGATAGCTCATCCCGTGGCACAGATGCACGCCCGCGTTGCCGAACCCCACGCCCGCCAGCGTGGCCGCCAACAGCATCTGGGACTGCGCCTCGAAGTCCTCCGGGTCTTTCACAGCCCGGGGCAGGTACTTGACCGTGCTGCGGAGAGCCTGCAGCGAGAAGATGTCGGAAATTGGGTTGGCGCCCTGGTAGGCCGGGCGATTGATCGGGTTGGTGGGACGAGGGGTGCGCTCGTTGTACGGGATGGCCGTCCAGGACTCGAGCGAGTGGCACAGCACATCCAGTCCGGAAGAGGCATGAACAGCCGAGGGCATGGTTCGTGTGTTGAGCGGGTCGCAAATCCCCAGAGTGGGCTTGAGGTTGCGGTGCGCAATCCCCGTCTTGGCTTTCTTCGAGACCAGATCGAAGATGGCGGTGCCCGTGGTTTCAGACCCCGTACCCGCGGTCGTCGGGACGGCGATCAATGGGCGGAGGGCCTTGGTGACAGGCAGGCCTTTGCCCAGTGGGGCATTGACGAAGTCGAGAAAGTCGGCTTCGGGGTAGACGGTGTACAGATTCATCAGCTTGGCGGTGTCGATGACAGAACCGCCGCCTGCGCGGGTTAGCGAGGGATAGACAAGCAGGTAAAATACTTACCAACGGCAAGAAAGGCATCTGGACTATAAGGCTTGGCGAATGCGATCGCTTCTTTGACCCTGCATTGCTGTTAGACGTGCACGAACGGACGGAAACAAAGGTGGGGGCTCACGAGCTGTCCTTGGGCTCCACGCGCACTTTGTCAAAGACAGTGAACTCAATGCCCTCCCGCGACAACCCCTCGACAGCTTGTTTCATAGCATCCAACTTGGCGACATTCCCATCTGTCACAATGCACACCCGCTTGGCCTTCATGTTGGCAAAGTCCATGCCGACCTCTTTGGTGGCCCCCGGCCCGAAGCGGATGCTCGAGGCGGCCATCTCGAAGGCATATTCTTTCTGGCGCGAAGGGTCTGTCGGGGTGGCCATGTGACGACGGACATGTTCGCTGAGAGTGGGTGTGCGATGGTGATGATGGTGGTTGGGATTGGAATGGCAAGGACACGAGGGCGGATGCGTGTACTGGACTGTGCGCAGGAGGTTGAGGGCGCGTGTGGAGGCCGACGGGGCGATGCGGACGGCAGCGACCATCTTGGAGGATGATTATGTCGAGTGAGTTTCAGTGGGTTCGAGTGATGGTTAAGCAAGCATGAAGGTAACGCGAGGCTGTCCTACAAGACAAAAGGAGAGCGAGGAAGAAAGAGCGAGGAAGTTGAAGCAGCAGAGAAGCAGGAGGAACGGACGGTGTGGAGGCGGAAATGCGGGGAATGCGGTCGGCGCGAATGCCGAGGTCGGGGTAATTCTCAACTCCCCAAATTTGTGACCTTTGGCCTTGGTGAGTATATCATTGCTCGGTGATTAACTCAATCTGACTGATGCCATCGAAAGTAACTACGTCTCTCTTTCCTTCCAAGGTACAGAGGTACAGACTTTGGGTCTACATCTTGACGACCTATACTAAGGTACGGAGTACAGTGCGCAATTTGGCTAGTCGCCCGATTGGGAAATGCCGAGGTCGAGCCTTTCCCTCTCAATTCTACTATAATCTAATGAACTAACTCATATTGAATTACCACAGTCCACTATCTACTATCGTTCTTAGCTCTGTCAAAAGCTCCTCTGCCGTTATACGACGCTTCCACTCTCCATCATCATGGCCCTCTTGCTCGCATAAAGATCTTGTGAACAGATTCAGCGGACCCTCTTTCAAATCACCACCAAATAAGTCTACCAAAGCTGGTTTGACCTTGGATGGCTTGGCGGCGTCGACCACAGTCCTCCACACCAGCATATGAAAGTCATGACTGGACATGCTATCGAAAGCCAACTGAAGCAGAGCCATACCCATCGCGAAGACATCAGAGCTCATAGGATCAAACGTTTTTCTCAGTAGGATTTCTGCTACGTGTTAGCGGTCTCAGCTGTTATCACGTACAATAATACCAGGAGAGAAAGAAGAAGAAGGCAAGATTGTCACCTACCCTGTGAGAGATACCCCAGCGTCCCCGCGCTGCCGCGAACGTACCGCGAACGAGTGATCCGATCCAGGTCCGAGATCAGGACGCCCATCTCTCCGGTCGGTGTGCGATCATATACCATGTTTCCAAGCTTTAGGTCCTGGTGCGCAAAGCCCTGTCGGTGGAGCTGGACCAGCGCTTCGACCATCTGCAGCATGACGGGCAGCGTTTGTTGTGCCCGGTTGGTCGGCGGCAGTTCGTTTGCCCACAGTTGCAGACTGCCGCGTACCCTCGGCATGACCATCGCGTAGACGGCCCCATTATGCGCCTGAGTGTCGTTGGGCTGGGGGATCGTGAAGGTAGCGGTGGCCCTGATAATATGGTCGCCCTGCACCAGATTCATCATATGAGCCTCCCATAGCAGCCATGGGTCGTGCGAGACCTTGACTGCCACGTCCTGCTGACCCAGGAGATCCAGCTGGTGATCGGATGCGTCACTCAGCGGTATCCAGGTGCCACCGTAGACCAATCCACTGGCGCCGTGCCCTAGGATATCCTGCTGGTCTATCTCGAGTCGGAATCCGCCAGTGAACACCGTCGTTTGGTAGGGATCCTCGTCTTCCACAAGTTCGGATGAGGGAACACGAGACTTGAGGTCCGCGACCAAGACCTTTCGGGCTGTCAGGCCGGTAGAGGTCTGGCGCCGCTGCCGATAGCTCTTGTATGTTTCCCAGGATTCGATGCACTCGGGCACTTTTGGCCCTGGTGGGATGCTTGAACTACTATGTGGCTCCGAACGTGAGGTTGACGATGCAGATCCGAGCCAACTGAGTGACAGCTTGGAGAGACCGATGCTGGTTATCAGCAGGAACACAGACCGCTTCAGCATCTCCAGACAGCTGCAGCTTGCCTTTTCAAGAGAGAGAACAGCAAGTGAGTACGGGAGCTTGCCTAATCCCCTTTTCGGTCCTCAACGGCGGGCTTCATATGACTACAGGTCAGTCCATTATCGATCTGGAATAACCTGAGAGACCAGGCCTTAACTTATAGCCATAATTTCATATTGTCATAGTTCATCACTCTTGCAGGGACATGATTGATGAATGGGGCTCTTTCTTTCCCGGAAAGGTCGAGTTTGTGCTACTGATGCATCTTGATCTTACGGAACAGGGTTGCTTGCCTTTTCAAACTCTCTCGTGTCTCTCTGACGATCTGACGGTCTGAAAACATGCAGGATCTTACGAGGTGTCAGATACGAGAAGTCACATCCGCTGATCATCAGGAAACTAATCATGAGTCTCCGTACTCCGTACCCCGTTTTGAACTAGCATCTGCAGTCGTACGACTCGACAAGAAGATCATTGAAGTCAATCACTCGAGAGCACCAAGTACCGGTACTGTGCTTCGACCTACTTCCATGCCGAGTGCCAGGTGGGCGCATAACGTACCTACTAGTCAGTAACAGTAGATACATATTCAATATTATGCATCGATAGGTCAATGATCAAGTATTCTCTGCATAAATTTCCGCGCGACACATCGGCACTATTGATGATCGACTTGTCATATCTCCTCGTGATAGGATTCATCAAACGTGACTGCGGTTCCTAGTATATAATATATCAAACACTGAGACTCTAGGAATTAGCAACTTCCTGCTTCACCTTCGCAGTTCACCCGTCCTCATTTCTCTTTCTTCATTGCAGCTTTCGTGCCTTTACCCACCGCCAACACACAAGATGCAGCTCGTCTATCTCGTAGTCATGCTTGGTGCGCTGGTAGCAGCCGGCTCAACCGACCCGCATGACCAGCAAGCAGACCACTCGCTGGTAAACTTCCCACGGAAGACTCCATGAGGAGATCTGGAGCTGACGGTGTTCTTCATAGGTTCCTCACTCCGGTCACTTGCTAGAGACCATGGACTCGCCCTGCACCGAGGAGCCTAACATCCCTGGACCCAGGGTACAGACCGGCAAGCGATCGGTGAGTTAAAGGGGGTCACAATTGAAGTTGACGAGAGACAGACATGTTGACTTTTGTAACAGCTTCTTGGTGTGAACCGGAAAAGAGATTCCGAACTTCTCAGTGATCTGGTGGGCGGGAGCTTCGCTCCCGCTTTCCGCTCTTCCGCTTTCCTCTCAGCATTGTTAATACGCGTGGATTCCATCATTGGCTGAAGCAGCGCTTTACTGAAGGTTGTACAGTACCACAGAGGGAGGTGAGACATCTTACAGGGTGGTGATGCTGGAATCAACCCTTCGATCTATGTTCTGTACCCAGTAGGAGGTAGTTGGTTATATGTAAAGCACGGAGAACAGTACAGTACACTACGTAGTCTAATAATTGTCTGAAGCCGATCTCCGATAATTCGACGAGTGGCAAGCGTACTTCGGTGTGGGGATAGAGCGCATGACTGACTGCCATGGTCAACTCGTCTGTAAGGGTTGTATATGCCACAGTACGTGACGGCATTTCCAGATTGAATTCGCCCGATATCAACTAACCGGACAGATGACCACCGACCCCGACCTCATTCCACCTTCGGCGTCGTGACATGCGTGTGCCCACCAGTCTCCTCCGGGATTTCCCCAGAGGTCCGACCCGCCTCGCCAGTCTCTACTATTTTCTCATCCGTAGGAGGCCTATCTCCACCAAAGACATGCTGCATCTCCTCTAGGGAGTATTGCGAGGTCTGTTTCACAAAACCACCCAATTAGTTTACTCACTTTCACACGCCGATTCAGCAAGCCACGAGACAAATAAAAACGTACCTCTTTCAGAAACACGTACGCGTAGACCACCACCGCGTAATTGAAGATGGCAAACATCAGGAACATCCGCCACCCGATGTTATCGATCGCATGCGGCGTGATCTGCGACATCATGAAATTGAACAACCACTGCGACGCCGCCCCCACCGTGACCCCGATCTCCCGCATGCGGCTGCTGAAGATCTCCCCGACGTAGAGCCAGGGGAGCGGACCCCAGGACATGTTGTAGCTGAAGGCTTCGCAGTAGGTCATGAGGATCATGGCGATGCCGGCCGGGGAGGCGTGAGTAGCTGACGCGTTGGTCGGGTGGGTGGCGAGCACGCAGGCGATGATCAGCATGAAGGAGCCCATGGCGGCGGCGCCGACCATGAACGGCCAGCGGCGGCCGACGCGGTCGAGGACGAAGAGCTGGAAGACGCACACGCCGACCACTTTGACCAGCCCGAAGAAGCCCGTCACGAGCTTGCTGGAATTGCCGGCCCCGACCGCCGAGAAGATCTGGGTCGCGTAGTATGCCAACGACGTGTTCCCCGTCAGTTGAGCGGCGAGCTGGATGGTGAAGGCGATGAACAGGCGGTACCGGTTGGCCGGGAGGAGCAGCTCGCGGAAAGTAAAGCCCTCCTTGATGCGGGCTTCCTCCGCGATGCCGGCCAGGATCTCGTCGAACTCCTGTTGGAGCTCTTCGGTCTCCTCGCCGCCGCGGACCCATTTGAGCGATTCGCGGGCCTGGTCTATCCTGCCTTTGGATGCGAGCCAGCGGGCACTCTCTTTGACGGCCAGCATCCCGAACAGAAGAAGGGAAGAAGGCAGCAGTTGCAGGCCCAGAGCGATCTGCCATTGTTTCGTCGCGGACGGCTGATCCTTGGCCACAGCGTATGTGACCCAGTATGCGATCATGACCCCCAGAGTGAAGAAGAGCTGGAAGCATGCCCCGAGCCGACCCCGGAACTCTTTGGGCGACATCTCGGCCGCGTACACTGGAATCAACACAGTAGCAGCTCCAATGCCGAGTCCAGCGATAACACGACCAGCATAGAAGGTGCCCAGCGTGTGGGAGTTGATGACCTGCAGGATGGTGCCAACAGTAAAGACCAAGGAGCTAACAATGAGCCCAAGTCGTCGACCGAGATATTTCGCAATGGGAGTCGTGAAGAAGCAGCCGAAGAAAGCGCCTGCCTGAAGGATCGAAACAGCATTGGAATTCACCGAGGTCTTCTGAGCTGTAGTATATCCGAAATCATTCTGAAATGATGATAGGGTGAGGACGCCGCCTGATGTAGGGAATCATATGAGTATCCAAGGATTACACTTGTAAGCTTGAGTATGGCATCACCCACTGATAACACCGGTGTCAAAGGCAAAGGCAAAAGAGCCCATGCAACTAGCAGACACCAGGCAAATAGCCCGGAAGAGACCAAGCTTTCGCCCCATCGTGATGGCTAAATCGCTAGCCGGCTGGTTCGTGTACAGGTCAAGATCAACGTGCTCGAGCCAGAAGAATTTCGAGAGATATGAGAAGCAGACAGCGCAGGAGCGGCGGTTATATAGAACCGGCCGAGGGGCGGGAGATAATGGGAATCTCAAGTTATACCCCTGTCATTCCGTGATTGTCGCTTGCGCGTTCCTCGCGCCAGGGCTGGATTGGGCGATGATATTAGGTTAAGGATCCGTCCTTTCATCCCAAATATCTCTTGCCTGTCGTGCAATCAGATAACAGACCACGCGGTGTCAGTGCGGGAAGGCCCTGGTGTATGACCTGTCTGACCAGGCCTTGTCTGCCGTGTCCCCCGCTATCAAGTCATAGACGCAGCTCTAGTGTAAAAAAGCTGTCAGCGAGAGTTCGAGCTTGAGTCTTGATGCGCTCGACTCTGGGCTGGTGGTTGGCTCTGGATTGGCACAATTTGGGTGTCGATGACGTGATAGCCATCGTGACGGTTGCACCGAAGAGCCTTGGCCAGGATGGCAGTGGTTCAACAGGGTTGCGACGAGTTTGTGGCTTTTTCGCGCCTGGATGGAAGTCATTACACAAGTCTTCCAAGCCGGAGCTTCCAAATCTTAGCCATCGAAGCAGCGACCACCTTTGGTCTAGGATTGCTTGCTGGCATCGAAAGAGATCACGATCGATAGACTACCCCGCAATCAAAAGATCGACATGTGAGATGCACATGATTGGCGGGGCTGAAATTGGGGCTGGATCAACTGGGGTGGATAAGGATAATCAATCCTTTAGCTAAGATCACTGAAGTGGATGATGAAGATAATCATAATCAAAGAAGGTGTGGCATAGTAAACGGGTGTCTGGTGGCCTGATTCATCTGAAGTATGATGGCCTGGCAGGAGAAGCCTTCTTCCACCCAATCGAGGCAAAGGTCATGATGTAGGTTTGTGGCTGTTTGGCTGTCGAGATCACCATAGTGAGCCAGAAGCATTCTCCAGATGTAAAAGTAAGGTGGAATGTACTGCAAACTTGATGACCGGTAAGGTGATTGATTGTGGATTAGAATAAGTACGGTATGAAGTTTAAACAAGAAAGGCCCGGGCGAACAGCCGACTGCCTATTTGCACACCCACTTCCCAAAAGGGATGGGCTCGTCTCCTTCTTAAGCTCTGATGCCTAAGGCATGACATCGCCAGGCTGCAAGGATGCCTCGGCTCAGGGGGGAGGATAAGCAAACCAAACGTCCGCGGAGTCTACAACACGGATCCCATCTACTCTCTGCTCCGAGGCTGTCGGCGTCAGGCAAAGAAAGGCTAGACTAGTCCGGATGCCGCCGAGAAGAACTTGAGTCTAGTCAAGCTTATTATTAATTTATTTCCTGCACGAGCTCACCAACGTGAAGCGCACCAGGATTGTACTACTGCATCCTTGCAGGTTCCACCTCTGAGAATAGCATCCATCGTCGGGCCTAGCCCCCAAGTGCCTAAAGCCGACTGCGCAGAGAAAGCTTTGTCTACGAGGATAAGGGTGGACCAAACCGGAACAGTCAACAAGCTGAAGCCATCAGTACGGGTAATACGATGGATGCCGAGCTTTGTAGCACTAAGACACTTGACTCAATAGCTCCCTGGATGGAGGCCACACTCCAGGAACAATACGATCGAGTGACACAGAGAAATTGGAAACAGTGCCACCAACAAACCGTTCAATGCTTCAGGGTCGGAGTCATGATGACTCGTTCGAAATGATCGGAAATCCCGGCGCGGATCTGCATAACATGGGTGAATGACCTCAGATCCAAAACACAAACACAAATATGGGTTTGAATCTGGACGGATTGAGGTCATGTTCCGAAAACCAAAAATTGAAGAAGCTATGGATGGACGGTGGTTTTGAGTATGCTTCACACGCGAAGATCGTCACTTGCACCACATGGGTGCGGGTCTATCTCGTCATATCCAGTCGATTAAGCTTGAGGTGCTTCTGCAGTTGAGTTTGCCTCCATCAACGCTTGATGCTTCCGTCCGTTCCAGAAGGCATTGTTCCCAGAGACGCTTCGATTCACCGGCCAGAAAGACCAAGGAAACTCTAATCGGCAATTTGGCGGAACTCTTTTCCCTTGCCACCTTGCGCAAACTGGGTCCCTCGAGAAAAGAAAAAAAAAAGTCTCTGATCACTGTTCATTCTGTATCCCCAGTCACCGGAGAACTGAAAGCGCTGAACTCCGTCCCCGGCGAGACCGACCAAAAAAGCAGATCATGCAGATCGCAGGACAGAGGAGATAAGATAGGGACATCCTCCGCAATTCCCAAATTCAGGTCCTTGTCGAGTTGTCGCAGCAGAGACGGGCCAACATACCGTTCGGGCAAGCACCGGCCGGTGCAGAGCCGGGTTCGATCGATGGATTCATGGATGTTGGCGCGCAGTGGCCACTGCGTAAAAAGTTTAATCAGGGCGGGTGGAGACACCGCACGCTCTCCCTTGAACCTCCCTCCCTCCCTCCCTTCCTCCCTCGCTCCACGGTTCCGTATGCCAATAGACCGCTACTGTTCCATGGTTCACGACTGAGACATCCTGCTTTTCAGGGCATCCGCCTGGCTGTCACTTGCTCTTGGGAAATGACAAGGTGGGGTAGCTTTCAGCCAATCCCGCTGCCATCACCATCTCAATCTCCAGGGCTGACAAGCAGAAACAGGAAAATGGCAATGTTAATGCCTCAGGTGTATAAATTCTCCCAAAAGTGAAACCAAATCTCATTAAGTATAGTCGTAGACTGCCAACTATGACAGTCGGGCCCGTCGTCATCAGTATGGTATTCTAGATATCGCACATGCCAAGAAGAGGATAGACATTATCGGAAAATAGGAACCGAAAAGGAAGAGAAAGAAAAGATAGAGATCTAAAGAGCGAATGGTCTCGTCAAAGTAGGTTGTTCAGTGCTCGATCATCGTCCAAAAGATGACCCATCAGACACTACCGAGATGTCGACTTGTTTCTTGATACCACGGCCGGCCTCCAGCGCTGAGTTCTGCTGGTAGGCCTCACGCAGGATCTGTTCGACGCTGTCGGCGTCATCATCCCTCCGTTCCTGATTCTGTGATGGCGCAGTGCCATTTTTCGTGTTGCCTTTGTTGCCGCTGAAGGGTCCAGTGAGCTCGTAGGAGCGTGACTTGGCATTACTGGAGAACTTCCTCACAGAGGAAATCAAAAGTGGTCGGATACAAGGGATGGATGAGGTCATGATGATGATCACGTTCTCAGTGTAACCCCAGCGAATCAGTTCCACGCCTCCGGACGCGCCAATATCGGTCACACTAGGCACTTGGTCGAGTTTGGTGGTTTTGATGATAGACGCAATCATAGCGCTGGTGGTGCGGTCTTAGCGCGAGCCGATCAAACGAGGGATGATCCACTTACACAATACCCAAACTCAGCAGGATGATCAAACTAATCTTGATGCGAAGTTTGAGATTCAGGTTCCAGAAGATCACAGTAGGGAAAACTGCCAGGAACAAGTCGGTCGCGGTATTGATGGCTGGTTCAAACAATCAGTCCAGAGTTTCGGCCAAATGTGTAGGGGATCAGATGCGTACAGGACTGGAAGTAGGCAAAGCGAATGACCGCAACCGTGTTACCGCAGGTAGTCTCTGTTCCGGGAATCCATAACGCTCGGACATTGCGGCAAATACTAAGTGGTAAAACCGCGGCGATAATGTTGCAGACTAGCTGCAGCATCATGGCTGTCCAGAGCGCGATCTGGTATGGTTTCTTTCCGCCAAGGATTCCGAGCAAGTAGAGAACGAACGAGGAACGGGCAAATCCGGTGCTGAACGTGACGAGCGGTACCTGAATGGCAATGTCTTTCAACACTGCTTCCGTATCTGACAGTTCCAGACTCCTAAGGTCTTTGCCAAAGCCATGCCGGACGGAATTGGTTAAAAGCCCCATAGAAGAGAGGGTTAGAATCTGAAACGGAGACAGAAATCACATTAGAGGTGAATTGATAGCAAAAAGAAGGCCGCAGGTGAGTCACTTACCAGAGCCGCAATCATCAGCACATCGTCAATGTGGAAGTGACGAATTTTGATTTTAGCAGCGATGCGGAGAACGAGGATGAATGTGGTGATGCCGACGGCCGCCCAGAGACCACTCAACAGGGCCGGGCCGGCATTCGAAGAACTGTCGGAACTCATCTTGACAAGGAGCACATCCTGGCAACCTTCATTGCTTCAGTGCCAGGTACGAGGTAGATATATCTCCCGAGGGTTGCGAAAAGCCGAATTTGGGGTTGCAGTTTTATAAGCTTTCGGGTCCAGGGGAAATACGGTTTTGTGGCCCTGTCGACGGTGACTTGGCGAGGACAAGCAAGCAGTAAGAATACGAAGCACTGCAGTGGCAGCAGCCATCGGCAGCCATGGCAGTAGTTAAGATAATTTAAGACTGGCGTTGCCAGAGAACCGTGGCGCGGACTGGCGAGCACCCAGCCAAATTTTCGTTCCTTCTCCAATTTCTGAATCTAACCGTTCCTTTCCAAGTTCCGACACAGCCAATGTAACTCCAGCATGGCAGCTGCAATCCAGTGGTAATGCGGTCCCTTGCCTAATGGGCCGCTTGGTCCGATCACTGGGCAGGTCAGGTTCGGGCACTTCGATAGTAGTCTAGTGGTTCTGAGCTTCTGGTTTAGCGCCACGCTTGTGGACACAGTCACCACGAGGAGATGAGAACTTAAACCTCCCCCTGCAGAAATGATCATCACTACCACATGGCATTGAATCCAGTAACCATGCGCAAATGACGCCAATCTAGTCTATCTTTAGGGCGCCGTTAACAACTAAGTTAAATCTTAGTCTTTTAGTCGGTGTGTTCGATCTGCAGTGTCTGCCTCCAGTCTGGATGATCCCTTGCCCCAAGCGTTGGCTTCAACAGGATGCTGGGTCCATGGGGAAGTGTGGGAGATGGGAGGAGGAGAAAAGAGCAGTGGTGGGTCAAGGTC